GGCGGCTTAGATTCCTTCAAAGTTTTTTGAAGCCTACATGAGTCGAAATTTCATACAATCCGAAGTTGGAAGTAGTTTATTTTAAATTTTTAACGAATTCCCTGCTCTAGTTGCATGTGTCTCAGTTTTAACTCATTATGGCGATATATAAACACTAGCATACACCAGTGTTTGCCATCGTATGGGTCGCGACCCGAAGTTGGCTGGTCTGAAAATCTTATTTTCTTTTATCAAAACCATTCCACTTAAGTAATATTTGAAATAATTTTTTTATTTTTGTAAACTGCTTGTCTTAGGAAGTCTAACTTTGGTCGGACGAATCGCTACAGAAATACATTTGTGTTAGTGTGTAGCAGGAATCTTTAATTTGATAGAATAACTTTTTTAAGTTAGCAATTTTATTTATATGAAAAAAGCACAATTTTTTTTCAAATTGGGTCGTTTCAGAAAAAGGTCAGGAACCGCTAAACCCATGGTCTACCACCCGTAAAACGATTAACATTACAAGCATGATAAGTTTTTATTACATAGTTACAGCTTGAGAAATAATAACAAAAGCAGGATGCAGTGAATATAGCCGCAAATGATTGCTGTTGTGGAATACTTTTGTCAAAGAAAAAGTCTAATGAACGTATACCGTCTTACAACATTACTGTTGGTCAGAGTCAAGATGGAGGCTAATCTCGATTCGAATGCTTCGTAAAGTGAGTCTTGTATTAGAGTCAAATTCATAGCAAGTTTGTCAATGTCTGGATAGTTTAGAAAAAAACTTATTATTGATGATCAAACACTCAATATTCACAAAGGGCCCCTAAGCGGCGCCATCCATGATCTGCAGTGTGCAACCCTTGTTCGTCTGTTTTAGGGTTCATTTTTACAACTAAACCAATCAAATCTTGACCATTAAGATTTATCGGATGACCGCGGTGCCAAATCGTATAGGGTGCAGGATTCCCATTCGAGAGAAACGTCTTTCCCGTCTGCAAAAACATGTAAATGTTAACAAAATAGAAATGCGCTAACATAGGCACACAATTTTGGCGGTGATAGCTTTGGAACATTTTTAAGAATCAAGTGCAATTTAGCAGAACGCATGGAAATATTTGTGGCCAGTTCTAAACCGTACGTGATTTCAAATTTGTTTAGAAGACAAATTATTGATCCATTGAGGTTGTGAATTTTTTTTATATTTTCAATGTAATTGCAACTAATTGGAAGGGTAAATCCATTTTTTCTCCATTTCCAAGATTCGTCAAAATTTCTTTCCGAGTCTCAGTACATGTCATGTTGATGGTTAGTCGAATTCAATCCGAATCATTTCTCTCAGATAGCTCGAGTCATTAAAAAACTTGACTCGTACCGAGTCAATGAGTATTATATTACTTACTTTTGGATCATGCGACATCCCAAGCCAAACGAAAATATCTCGTGATTTTTGGCGAAGATATCCAATCACGTGATTGTAGTGGTTCTCGGAGTAAATATTGGCGAGTTCCCAACCATTTGACTCGCACATATTGGTAGCATCTGAAATGGTTACGTCTTGTTCGTCGTGTAAGATGGCTTGAAAGCATTTGCCGTTGTAAACAAGTGCAGCACAGAATTCTGAATGTGTATACAAAGTTGCAAATGTAATCGGAATATTGAACAGAACTGACATCAGTTTTGATGGGGAGCGCATACCGTTAATCAAAGTCGAAAGTTTTTTTTTATACTTTTCAAGGTTCTAACTTGCTTTATTTTCTTGCCATCACAAGATTTGGCTTCAAATTCAAATTGTTTAGTTTGGACCTGAGTTTTTCATGGCAATTATTTAGAATTCCAGAATACTTTTGTTGTATATATAAAATTTATGCACATAAATACATACCGAGGATTTAAAAATGACATACAATTGCGTGTAACTCATATTTTCGGACCCGATCATATTTTCGATTTGATAAACTAACTATTAGCTAAGATTTTCTTATATGGACATCGACGATTAAATATGTTATCTCCTGCTTAGGGTCACGCATGTTTCCAAATAGCAGTTAAATAGCTTTCGAGTGACTGCTAATACAGAGTTCATCCAAAGCACTTTGTATGTGATACATTACATGCTTGTTTCAAAATAACCTGAATTTCGTTTCACCAACATGCTGATAGTTCTGTTCATTTGATCCATCATTTCCGACATTTTGACAATTCTGGTATTCATAGATTCGGTAGCTTAAAAAAAGCAGAAAGTATTATCACACTATTTTGGTTATAGAGATTCATATATGGGTTTTTGAAGTTTCCATCGGTAGAGGTTTCAACGTAGAGTGAGTCACTCTACTAAAGCCCTACACTCGAACGAAACTTGATCGAACATATCTCGAAAAAAACTAGTCCTAATCGAGCATAGAGAAATATATTCAAAACAGGTCATGTTATGTTTTGTAATCTGAATATTGGACGTTAATAAATGACCAAATTAATATATTTGATCACGGCGTGATTATAAGGTCCCACCGGGAACATCGAGGCTAATTTTTCGCTGTTGGTGTAAGACACGGTGGCGATCACATGTTGTATATATAATTGAAATTTTCCGGCCCAAAAGAATCGAAGAATCTTCCCAGAGGTTTTAAAGTTTTCAAATATCGTGATATCGGCGAATCCGTTCTGAGCTGACGACTAGCGCTATATTTGGCGTTGGCATATAAATTGGATTTATATGTGAAGGGTATCAATGTAGCGTACGTAGGGACATACATCGTAATGTTTTTCTGAAATAAGAGCACATTTTAGTGAGTTCCATACAAAAGAGAACCGGGTTTTAAATTTTTGACTCTCAGCTCTGTCTTCACGAATTATAATATGTATGTGGAACGGATGTTAGACAAGGGAACGGGATAAGGCGTAGGCAACGGTTTAGGTAGCGGTTTTATCGTAAACAAAAAAATTTCCCAAATGAAAACTTAGTTTATTCTCAGTAAAACTATTTTAATCGTAGTTACCTGCTGAAATTTTTGCTTCAATAATGTCATCAACCCTCTCGTAATCAACGGTTCCTTTTGGTCCAATATCCCCCTTATCACCTTTGAACCCTTGGGCGCCGCGTTTACCGGGTCTGCCTTGTGTAGTTTGGTTCCCATGTGACGTCACAGGACTATCTGGCGTCAGGAACAATGCACATATTCGCTGGCACACTTGTTGCTGATTGCCGAGTCCACATGATAGACTGATTGCAAGTGCGCATAACGTGATCTTGAATATAAGACTGGCTCTCATCTTTGCACTAGGTGTATTTTCAAAATACCGCTTCTACAAAGTCCCTCTTACAAATAAGGTATTGAAATCTAGTGCATACTTGATTACAAAGCAATACTGCAAATATTGAGAAAAAATTAACCTTTTATGCGTAATGGAAATATTTGTGATGATATTTGAGGCATTACCAAGCTTGGGACGGATTGCAATACAAGTGTCTCTTTCCTTACCTTGTTCACTTTCCATTGCTATTACCAAATCGCGAGTTACTATTACATTGAAATGCATGGTAAATTGTTTGTATTTTTGAATACCCACAAATTTACAGGAAATACTTCAAACCTTTTTCTGTGCGATACATAAGCAAACAGTAACTTTGACACCCGATGCATTACCGTAACATAGCACATTCAAGTCGATAATATTTTTAATATCAGTACAATCTGTGATTTATTTGACGCGAAAGAGACCAATGTGTGTACATTTTTTGTATTGGTTTTTCCTATCTCCTCATTAACCGTTTGGTACATCTTTATAGCGCTAAAAGTCAGCAACTTTGATTATCTCGTTTTAAACAGAAATCCAATAAATCAAAGTTTACTATGAATTTTGAATGAAGACTAATTACTATTGTATCTCTATACATTTTCACTGGACTCTCAAAACCAGTTGTTTTACCCAACGTTTCCTATTTTAAAAAAAAAAATTGCCACCGTACGGATTTTTTGCTCAGCCCAAAATTGCTCGTACAAGGAAAATGACGTATTCGTGTTGACGGTGGTAGACACTGACGATATGGTACATTATGTCGATATAGTTGTTCAGTAGACAAAACTGAATTTAGATAGTTCATAAAAGGTGAATCGCATGAGACAACACGGCTGAAATTTATGAGAATATGATGGGAGACTCCTAATATGGAAATCTTCTCGCTGTACATAACGTTTAACAACCCACAAATAGAAGGAAATAATTTCAAAGTATGACCTAATCTCAAATTAGAGATGCGATTAGCTCTTCGACACAAGTATCGACACAGCTTCTTGTAAAATACACGAATATTACTTTCACGTATTTGGAAAAGTATGCTGAATTGGACCCGAAGGCATCTATAGGAGCATTACGTGTTTTATTTTCGCGCTACTAGTGCTATGAAGGGGTTTATGACTAATATGGCAACATCAAAAAAGGTCCGTAAAATAAAAAAGGGGGTTGAGAAAACTGATCTAAAGCATGGGTTTTCAAAGTGCTACATACGGAGCCCCAGAGTTCCGTGCAAGAAGCCACGTGCCTCCGCGAGCTATTCGTTTACTTATTAAAACACTGACTTGGTTAATAACTGTCCAAAGGAGCAGTAACAGTATTAATGAAATTTTACAACGGTAACGTGAATTCTAATATGAATTTATCTAAACGCTGTAATAAATAATGCCATTTTTTTAATTACCGCCTTGCTACCAGATTTTGACACTTATTCATTGATATGTTTGTGAAATTGTTAAATCTCTGTGTCAAATTTATTGTGGAGCTCCGTAAATAATAGTCAACATCTTCACGAGCCCCAAAATGCTAAAAGTTTGAGAACCCGTAATATAAAATCCTCAACGACTACTTTGTTGATATAGTAACTTGATATTATTTCAAATTTGAAATTGTCCGTTACGGCATCGAATTCCGCGCCAAAATATACATCAAGTTTCAAACGCGAAAGATTCTTTCCTGTAGAATAAATATACAGAGTCCGGATAGTAACGTAATAGATAATTATTTATTCGTTTTTACAACAGCGAATAACACTACTAAAATATTCCACAAAATAAGTGATATATTAGTGTAACTCATAATCCATTTTCATTATTGAGGGCATTTATGAAATGCTTTGCGCGATGCAATTCATACGAATGATTGGCCCATGTTGAAAATAAAAATCAATTACCAAGTTATGCATGTTAAAATATTGATTATTTTTAAAAGGGTCTCATAATCGACGCGTTTGGCGTTCAAACATTGGAAAAACATTTGAAACGAAATCTTTCCTTTTCCGATTGTAAACTACCAAAACATTATTTGAAAGCGATGTTTCAACTATATTATGCCATTGTCTTGGAAATCTTCCTCGCTACCACAGAAACTGTTGCTGCCGACCTCTTTATATAAAAAGGTAAGTCTAGTTATTGTAAATGCTTACAAATCGGCACAGTAAAACCAAAATAGCTTTTTAGAGAAGAACTTCTCTGATCTTTCGTTATTAATGTTGGATCAGGGGACATCTTTAGCTTTGTGTTTCAATGCTGTGTCTGTTTCAGTTTTGATTTTAGGGGATGCCTTGTGTCTACTTTTAGGTTTGATCTTTAGATCTGAAAATTACAAAATACATTTTCCTAAAACCTCAAAATTTTACATAATCTAATTTTGCTCTACCTCCGAAATAACGTTCCTAAATTATCAACCAACAAAAATAATTTTTAACTGAGAGCTTATTACTCCATCAACGAAATTATTTTCACAACAGGAACGCGAAGATGAAGACGCTTCTATTTCTTTTCTTTCTGTTCCTGGCAACTTTCCGATCTGCTACTGCTAGATGCTCGTGAGTACATAAATAGGACTCGAACTGTATATTTATTCCGGGGGAGAGCCAATATGACGCCTTGCTCATTCATATGACGAACCACGGCATTTCGTCCGGTTACCAGTCCATGCCGGGTATGAGATTAGTTAGCCAGTTATTTTGTTTTAGATGCATGGACTTGCTGGTGGATAAACCACCCTACGGTGGGGTGAGAAGTGCAGCAGTCTACTTGCACATGATTATTCTTCGCGGGATTCGAACCTGCGAACCCACGAATGATAATGGTTGCCGGGCGTATTACTAACCCCTGGCACGATGCGCCACACCGATCTGAAAAAAATACGTTAAATAAACTTTTATCAGTGCTCTTTTACATTTTTGGTTAAGATTTCTAGCTGTGAGTGAATTTATATATTAACTGTATATCTTAACAAAACTGAATATTAAAAAAAATTATACAGGAACTGAATCATTTTTAAAATTTTATGGGGTCTTACAGTTGCAGCTTTTTTTTAATAATGTATTGACAAACTTTTGAAATTGTAACGTTTCTTCTAATTCTTTTTGTAGGAGTTATAAGTGCAAGAGGGGAAAGTATGTTGAAGTAATTGGTAAGACAATAATTAGACACACGATTATATATATTTCGCAGCTGTTACGTTCAGTGGTTTCAAGCCCGGTGGAATACGACAATATAAATAGACTTATCGCTAACGAATGGCGGTTTGTGAATCTCTGAACTTTCATGGCACTCTACATGACACCATTTCTTTTCATTAGATAATAATATTTTCCTATCCAAACTGCCCAACATATGATATCGTTAAGATGCCTTGTCGAACAGGGCTTCAAATGACCTTGTGGCTAATTATTTTTAAATCTGTGTCTTGTTTAAAATGACTATCATAACATTACCAACTCGGCAACTAGTTATGAGTAAGACTTACCTTCATATTTTCAATGAAGCTATGATGATATGATGTTTTTCAAATGTGACACCAAAATTATACCGTGCCTTACAGCAAACGGGGTGCAGTTATTACCATTTCATGGTAGCTCCTGCCACGAACGAACCGCGCGTCTCTTTCCATGGTTTTATGGCGCTATTATCGGTATATTCACAAAGTCATGTACCAGATTTTAGTTTATCATGCGGAATTATATCTACTTAACCTGAAACTTAACCCCAAATCTATCAAAACTGTATCCATAAGGTAAATGTTCCAACTTACCCAAAGTTTGTCACCATCAGACAGCCCTGTCATTACAGCCAACATGCCTTGGTTTGTGGCAGCAAAATTCTACCATTCTGCCATTGGTTTTCAATTTGCTGCTGTGATGCCCGCCTCGCGCTATTGGTTCGTGGCAGCTAAGAAGTCAGCCCGCATGGTTTGACCAAAGCGGCCGTGGTTTGGAAATCCCGCCATGGTTTTGCGGCAGCTTCGGACGCCACAAAATACTAAAAAACTGCGCTTTTACAAACCAAATATTCAACAGAACCTTACGTCATGGTCAAGCTTCATTTATTTATCAAAGGCGATGCCAGTTTTAATAAAAACAATGCAAGCGGATTTGACTCATGTTGTAAAAAAACATCATTTTTAGTATTTTAAAGTTTTTTAAATAATTTCAGAGCCTCGTGAAGAAGATGCAAACGTTATCGAGGTCCCGAAATTCGAAGAGCACGTTCAATCTATCCCACACTTTCCTCTGGATGATGACGCTTTTATACAACATCCCAGGCAAAAGTTCATATTGAAACCAAGACTTAAGAATAATCTTGACGACCGCGTTATACTGGCAATTCCTGAATTTGAAATAGAAGATTTTGATTATAACTTTAATTAAATCTTGAAAATATTTATTGATAGTTATTGCAGGAAGAATCATTTTGGAATCTCGCGAAATAGTTGATGAACGGAATGTATGGACTTTCTGGTTTTAATGATTTACATGTTTAGTTTATTGGGGTAAATTTTCATCTGATTTATGTTGATTTTCTTGAACTAAACTTCACTATTACTTCGTTTTGTATTTTTGTGTTCTATGTAGTGACTTTTCCATGTTCTGAGTTTCATTTTTTATGAAATAAATTTCAATATTTGCTACTAATGTGCAGTATGTCTTGCAGTCGTTTTTTACGCTCATGTAGCCTCATTCACGCTATCCGAATTTTTACATTTTGCGGTATTTTATGTAATTGTTACTCATCTCTGCGAAAATCTAAATGCTATGCTATGAGTTGATCACCCTTATCATTGCAAATAGGTATTTGAGTTAAAAGGCGAAAACGCCTGAACCAACAGTCTGTGTGTCCTTCATTAATTCCCTTCAGAATAGAAGATCGTCGAAGCATTGGAACACCATTGCAAATGTGTCGCAGCAAGAATAGTTTGGCGGGAATAGTCTCTGAAAAGCAGAATAAGAAAATTTTCGTTTGATATTCGGCAAGAAATTCCTGATATAAAAAGTATTCCGCGGACCAACAAAGGTAGAAAATCACTGGCTCGGGTTCCAAATAACTACTGTCAAAACAGCGACTGTCACAATGGCGACTTCATAATAGCGACGTAATCAAGTGAGCGAGCGACTGTCGATGTTCTGAATAGAGCGACTACACGACAGCAATTCATTCAAAACAGCGAATGCCACAACAGCGACATCACTTTCTTTATTAAATCCCAGGCTTACGCCCACACGCACTTAAGTCGCTATCATAACAGTCGCTGATTTAATGCGGTCGCCATCATGACAGTCGCTGTTTTGACAGTCGCTCACTTGATTACGTCGCTATGATGAACTAAATCGCCATTAAGGACAGTCGCCATTCGTACAGTGAAAAACGAATCACCACGCAAGTAAATATGTTATTAGAAAAATAGGAAATTAAGTTGCAGAAACTATTCGATATAAGCTTCATTGATGTCTAGTTTGCAGATATAGTTGACTAGTGTTAAATAATAAGCCTATAATGGACACTGGAAAAATGGAATGTTGAATCATCTGGTGTTGAATTCGTCAAATGAACTATAACATCTGTTCACAACATCAATCTGTCTGTCTGTGGATTCAAGGAAGGACAATATGCCATATTCAAGATCAAGCGATGACCCTCCTGAACCCCCGAAACGTAAAAGTCCAACTGAACGTCAAGCAGCATGTACTTCTTCAGCATCCAACTTAACAGAACACAACATATCCAATTTAGTCTCCATACTTGAGAGCACAATTCTAAAGACACTGCGCCTGGAAATACCGGCTATAATTGAACAGCACATTGAAAAATTAGCTCTGGATCTCTCTTCAACCACCCCGACCAGCATTGGAATCCAGGAGTCTCTATCATCTCTGGATGAATCTATGAAACAAATGAAAACTCAGTTATCCTCGATCAATGTCATTAAAGATGAGGTTGGAGAAATAAAGACAAGCCAAGAATTCATTGCCAGAAAGTTTGACGAACTTAATGCCAATTATGACAAACTGAGCACCATCACAGTTAAAAACACCTGAAGGATTTGTCAACTTGAAAGTATTGTGGAAGAACTAGAATAAGAAATAGATATCCTTACTGAACGCCAATACGACCAGGAGCGTAGGTCGAGGCTGGATAATTTATAATTTCACAATATACCCTACTCGCGTGATGAAGATTGTGAAAAATTAATTATGAAGATAGCAGCACGAATAAATGTACCGCTGCAATCATTTGACATATCAAACTGTCACCGGATGTCAAAAGAAAACAACAAAAAGTTCATCATCGATAACCTTAATGACAATAACAAGGACTTATTTTTTAAAGAAAGAGATCTTAAGTTATCGTGTAACCCTGTTTCCAACACTAATACTGATGGGTATAGTTTTATACACATGCCATCCATCACAAAAGCAGGTGGTGTTGGTGCTTATATTCGAAACGATCTCATCTATAATGAAATTTCAGATTACAATCTCAATCACTCCAACTGTGAAAATATATGGTTTGAAATAAGTTCGGCCAACGCAGTCAATAAGATAATTGTTGGTATTATATATAGGCATCCTCGTAATAATATTCCAAGCTTTACTAATGCATTTGAAGCATCTCTTGCTAAATTGGCAAAGAAACAGTTTTTAATACTAGGAGATTTTAACATTAACTTACTTACAACGTCAACTAATGCCCAAATTGCAAATTATGCCAATATGTTAATTTCTCACAATGCCAAGTTATTAATCACTAAGCCTACTAGAGTAAGCCGTACATCATCAACACTTATAGATCACATTTATTCTAATATTTCAAATTTTAGAATCAAATCTCATGTAGTTCTCTCAGACATAACAGACCATTTTCCTGTCATGTGTTGCCTCAGTGGCATAAAACCAGCCCATACAAATTATGTCAAAATAGCAAGGGACATGTCAAAATTCTCGATCGTTTGCTTCCGCACAGATACACAAGTAATTTTTCATAATTATATTGCTAGAAACAATTTGAGTTCCCAAAATTTTGATAGTGTTTTCAGCGATTTTGTAAAATCTTTTGTTCACCTGATTGATAGCCACGCCCCGCTTCGACCACTCTCACGTCGTCAAAAAAGGCTACGATTAAAACCATGGCTAACCAAAGGTCCACAGAGGTAATCCTAGGTCAACATGGCAAACAGTTAACGAAATCACTCATGTAAAAAATAAATCTAATCAAAAAGTTGACGAGATCGATATTGAAAATGGCTCTATAATTAGAGATGAACTTTTGATTGCTACAGAATTTAATAAGTATTTTTCTACAATTGGGTCTAGCCTTTCAGGCAAGTTTTCCACTGAACAGGATAGCTTTAAACAATTTCTTCACAATTGTTTAAACCAGTCCATCTTCATGAGCCCAGCGACGCCGATTACAAATGAATTGATAATAGAAATACATAATTTGAAAGACAGGAAGGCAGTTGGTCCAGACAACATACCAGCACGTTTCCTTAAATTAGTTGCTGATCTCATTGCACCATGTTTGGCTGAATTTTTCAATTGTTCACTTTTGTTTGGAATCTTCCCTGCATGTCTCAAAATTGCCCGAGTGATCCCTCTTTTCAAATCTGGCAATAAAAAACGTATGTCAAATTACAGACCAATTTCAATTCTTTCATCAATAAGTAAAATATTTGAGCGTTTGATTCATAAGCGACTCAATGCTTTGTTTACGAAACATGATGTAATAAATAAATCACAGTTTGGCTTCCAAAATAATCTATCTACATCACATGCTATCTTAGACACAATATCATATATCTACGATAAACTAGAGAGGAAGGAGTTTATCAGTGCAACATTCCTAGATCTAAGGAAGGCCTTCGATACCGTAAATCATAACATCCTGATTTACAAGTTGAGACATTTCGGTATCTAGTTATTTAAGTAATAGATCACAATATGTTCAAGTGGCGTGTTGTTCCTCTCCCTTACCAGTGACTCACGGAGTTCCTCAAGGCAGTTGCTTGGGTCCTCTTCTATTTCTAGTCTATGTAAATGACATAACTTGTTGTTCCTCTTTCTTTACCAAATTGTTTGCTGATGATACCAATCTTCTCGACAGCGACAAATCTTGTGCAGT